GGCCTAATTTGAATCTGAGAACTGCTACCTCACCTTCAAGCAGGGCAGCTCCTATAAAATATTTTATGTAAGCCACCATAATTGGCACACGTACGTGACTGAGTTGAGCAATTTGAATGGTCATGACCAGGTTGGGCACATACAGGTCAGCGGGCTGTGGAGCGACAAGTGTTTGGCTGGGTGGCCAAAATAACAACATTTCTGACACTGATGAGGATGAGGTCTACATGGTTGGTAAAGGCAGAACACTCCACCAGTATAAACTTGATGGGGGAGGTCATGTTTAACCCATTGGCGCTGGGTGTCACGTACGTACATGCCATGGCTGTTGTGGACCAAACGCCGGGGGCATCATGCCATGCCCATTCCCGCGCTACTGGCTCGTCGGAAGGAGGTTGTTTTTCTCCACTAGTAGCGGCTTCATTTATATGGTAAAGATTTTAGGCAATGGCACCTAAAGTGAAGGTAAACCTTCAAAATTTTAATATTTTTATAAATTTTAGCAAAATAAAAGATTTTAGGTGCTATATGTCGCTCACAAACTACCGATCGAGCCGGGCGCAAACAGGGGAAACTGCCAGTGCGCGCCAACAAGCCGGTGCATACGTAAACTTGACAAAATTTTTACCCGTTGCCGATGGGTTAAGGAAGCTAATCTTGGCAATATTGGTATGGAACTTACACTGGCCTCTGAGAGGAACAGTTTAGCACTGTACTGCCACTGCATCTGCAAGGCAGGCAAATAGGTCGTTTTCACAGTCTGACCACTTTTTATCATAGATAGGACAAGCAGTTGCGGAGACAGAAACAGTTACAATACAAGTATTAACCCACTAACGACAGGTGTCCCACATATGAGACACCTGAAAAAATAAACATTGCCGAGTGTCCCGCCAGTGTGACACTGTATCAGGGCTCGCGCTCCGACGCAGCAGCGGGCCGGCAGAGTCCGGGGCAGCCCCACCCGCCAATTTTGTAGCCGCCAGGAACCTTTTATTTTCGGCTTCAAAATGTACCCGCGTTAATGGGTTAAGAGACAAGCAAGGTTTGGCAGGAATAGCTTTGCCAGTGAGGTCAGTGCATGAGCTTTGGACTCACATGTAACTGTCACAAGGCGTGAATGATCGGAACGACTGCAAAAGGAAACATTGCCTATTTGTTTTTGGAGACATTATTAAAAGAGAATGGTATTGTCAGAATAGGGGTCTGTGGGGGGAATCACAAAGAATCAACCCCACTTGGTTGGGCCAAAGAGGTTACTCAAAAGATTTGTAGAAATGGAATTAGTAGAAGGACGAGGGCAGGAGGAAGATGGGATGGTGTGGAGTGAGGTAGTACTGTGGAGGGGAGGACAATAAAGATGAAGAGTAGTAATAAAGGAGAAGGGGGTAGACACTGAAGAGGACTGTGCAGCAGGAAATGAAGAGTAATATGGGAGAAGGGAGTAGACAATGAAGAGGACTGTGCAGCAGGAGATGAAGAGTAGTAATAAGGGAGGAGGAGATAAAGAGTAATAACGGAGGAGGGAGTAAACACTGAAGATTTAGATTTTTTTTAAAGATTTAGTTTTAATTCCATTTGTTACAATGGATATTCTTTGCTGTGACATACTGTCTGTTTTATTTTGCACAAATCTCCCCCTGTGCGCAAGGAATGGCCGGGGATACCACTCACTGGCCGGGCGTGGGATTGAACGCAGGTCCGCAAGATTGCTAGACCAGCACCTTACCGCTGCGCCAGCACAGCGGTAAGAGGACTGAGCAGCAGGAGATAAAGAGTAGTAATAAGAGCAGGAGACGAAGAGTAATAATGGAGAAGCGGGTAGACAATGACGAAGCCTGTGCAGTAGATGAAGTCGAGAATATTGGGAGAGAGGAAGGGATGCATTCTGAAGCTTGAGTAGTGACCTGGGTGGGTGGTTCGGAATGGATGGAGTTGTCAGTAGATGTCGAGGAGGGAGTATTAGCATCAGCGGCCGGAGCTGTGGTCAAAGGAGAGGCTGGGGTATGGAAACCAACAAAATAAATTCTAAATAGGCTAGTTGATGACGGGGCAAGCCTTAATGCCCCTAATAGGACTAAACAAATATTCATTATTAACCATGGTGAGCCTAAAATAAGTGGGGAAAAGAAATGGCCGCTGTGTCAGAGCACGAGCCCCGATACTGCGTCACACTGGCAGGACGCCCGGCAATGTTTATTTTTTCGGGTGTCTCATATGTGGGACACCCATCTTTATTGGGTTAACCCATTAGCGATTTTGTACCCGACCGGAATCTTTTATTTTCTACTTCAAAATATACCGGCGTTCATGGGTTATTAAAAGATTTATCATTTTTTGTTCGATTCCTTATAGGTTTTCCCAGAAATGAGGCTTTCATCCTGAATTTTTTTTATTTTCTTCAAACAGTCAAAAAAGACTAACCTGATCTTTTTTTTTTTTTTTTTTTTTTTTTTTTATACCTGAAATCTATTTTCTTTTCTTTGGGTCTTTAAGGTTTTGCTTGAAATAATGCTTTTAGTTTAAGTCTTTATCCTGATATCTATTATTTATGTTTTATTTCTTTCAGGTTTTCCTAAAATGACAGGTTTACCCTGAAATCTATTTTTTTTCATTAATTTCTTTCTTTTTTTTTCCCCTGAAACAATACTTTTACAT